TTTTCATCAATATTGATCTATGGGGTCTCAAAATCTTCAGAAAAGTACTCTCGTCCACCTAAGCGGAGCAGAATTTTGAAAAATTGCGTACAACTTTATATACACGTCAAAATGTGCCAATTTTTGAGAAAATTAGTATTTTATCAACACTAGAAGCCATATTAAAGCTCTTGGAAGAAAAACAAACTTTTTTTTTCAAATTCTGCTCCGCTTAAGTGGATGAGGGTACTTTTCTGAAGATTTTGAGACCCCATAGATCAATATTGATGAAAAGCTCACGTCAGAATCGCGTGGCAAGTGAATCCTATTATAATATTTAGTATTATGAAAAAATAAGCGTAATTGGCATTTCAGAGCTTGGATAGAAGTTTTTTTTGGTCAATCAGGTGTCTAATAAACATATTTTACGATCACAAAAAAAAATTTCCACTATTTCGATTTATATAGCTATTTTTTGAATTTAAGCTTTTAACACAGGTCGGTCCCCTTAAATAGGTATTTTTAAGCCAAGAGACGGCACAGCTGAGCAGCAGAACCGAGACCAAGATCTACAACAAACTACGAGTCAGCAGCATGACGCAACACGACAATGCTGCGGTGTGCGAAAGTAAGCCACCTGCCGCCGTCTCGCGAGCGCCGGCAGGCTAATGCCAGGCCAGTGGAGCAGACACGAAAGAGGCAGTACCCAGCGAGCCCTCGTGCAGAGAAAAGCGAACGTGCAGAACGCAACACTAAGACGTTAACTCGCTGCCACGAGAAAGAAAAGTATAAGTTACGAGTGTAGTTTTCTGTGATATTGGCCAAGATCGATCGTCAGTTTCTGTGCAGTGTGGTCGTAAAGTAAGCGTCTGATATGAGAGTTGGCGTTGCACTTGATTTGCAAGGCAAGTGTATCCAGCGTGCATCGCCGGGTAAACAGACGCTCTTAGCACGAGGCATTCGTGCGAGAAAGTGAGAGAGAGACATAGCGTCGAGGCCGACGACGAGGTTAAGTGCGCCCGGCCAAGATCACCGTTGCTGTTGCAGAGGCGTGAAGCTGCCATCACTGAGAGCTTGACGAACGAAGAGCATCATCAAGTAAATTTAAGAATATTCTCGATTAGTTAACAAGTGGCTTAGTCAGTAGCGTGTGTGTGTTTTTTTTTCTACTCCACCCCATTCGGACACTCACCGGTAACCGCCGCTTGGCATTGCTTCGGTGAGGCTAGGGTTAGTTAAACATTTCTGCTACTTCTATATAAGTCGTTGTTTCCATACATCCCCCATCCGTCGCATAGTAATATGAGACGATCAGGGGTTCAGGGACTCATCTTGTTGTACTCGGTGAACCTTCGATCCTGCGCGATGCCTCTCTCGATTGTCGTATCTCCTTTTTCAGAGCCGTCTACTGCGTGGTCACACATTGCTGGCATCTCCTCCTGAGTTAGATATTTTTAGAACTCGCCGTCTAGTGCCAACTTGTGAGTGTGGTTCTCGCTTCCGGCGCTACCCTGAGTCTCCGTGAGTTTTTGATACTCCTTTCTGTTGTCGTCTTGTGAGTTCGGTTCTCGCTTCAGGCGCCATCATGCGACCTTCAACGAACCTAGGCTCCCGCATTCAGCGCGCTCTTGAGAGTGTGGTTCTCGCTTCTGACTTCATCATGGGAGTGTTGTGCTCCATCTATTGCCAGCCTTGTGAGTCCTCGCCTCGGGCTCCTATTTATCGTTATCCTTTTCGCTTCCAGCTCGCACAGTGATCGGGGTTTTTTACCGCTTTGGAGGCTGATGACATAGCCCGGGTCTTCTTTTTAAGTGGTACCCGCTCCACCTCGGGCACGGGCTCGACCACACCATGCGACAAAGCGCCATCGAAAATTCGCCCAGTGGGGATCGAACCCACGCCCTACTGCACACCTTGTATCAGTAGGTAAGAACTATATCCACTGAGCCAACGAGGTCGGTGGTCGCGCGTGTGTGTGTATGTGTCTGCGTGATAGAGTGTGTGATCTTCGCGAACTGCGTAGTGCGTCGTACTATCTCGAGCCGTGTCGGTAGGTGCCATCTTGCTCGCGCTCGCGCGTGTTGTGTGTTGGCGCGCATCGTCACACACACTCGCGTATTGAGTTCTGCCGCACTGCCGCGACCGCCTAACATTCGATCTCGGTAGTGTACGGAAGCCTGAAAGTATCACGCGGCGCTGCGCACTGCGAGCGAACTTTCCACTCTATGTCTATCTTTTACCACAATGTTCCACAACGCATAGTAGACTTTAGAGTTTAATTTATTTAATTTTTGCTGTGAGGTAAAAGAGTTTAGATAAACATGTCCAAGAGGGAGATAGAAGTATAACAGGGATTATCGTCAAGATATTTCGAAGTAGAAAACGACAAAATCTCTCTGACAATACTAAAAACGTATTATCCAAAAATTTCAGGCTCAACCTACAAAAAAGACAATAAGCCTTAATGCGTAATAGTTGAAGATAATTACTTCAAATGCGTACCAGGAATCACTACATACAATGTTTTCACAAAAATGGGTGAGTAACAGTTAAGTTTTCTGCCTATTCATCATTTCATTCTTTTTACGGTTTATGTATGATAAAAATTTTGTGAATTAGGTTGGGAAGACACTCCAGCTACACTATCTCAAGTACAAAAAGTGAAGCTGCATTCCATTATGAAGTGCATCCAAACCCAAGAAGCACCAGTTAAGCAGCAAGAAGTTCAGAAAAGAAAAAAAATTTCCTCTAAACCTGCAAACGGCACGCCTATTCTACCTCTGCCATCAAATCAAGTGAAAAAGATGAATGTTTTCTGGCTTCACAGAGATATTGGTAGTGAACAATTTTATAAAATGAATGGAGTTAAAAGCAAGGAAATTCAAGTGGATAGTGCTATTAATTATTCTGTTAAAGATATAACTACCCTTTGCATAGCAGCTCATAAAGATGAATTCAACGTCAACTATTTTCAAAAAAGCGAGACAAAAATAGGAAGAAAAGATTTTAACTTGATTGAAGATTTTGGTTCAGATGGTTTTTGGGGATATTACAAAGCAGCTTATGCCAAGGCACATAGACCAATTTGTCTGTATTTATATACAATAGCAAATCAGCCAAAGTCATCCAATCAAGTTACGTCTGTTGCAGTTCAATCTGAATCATCATCAACTCAATCCAAGGAAAATTCATCTTTATTTTTAAATGCACTTCCATCCTGCCAATCAATATTCAAAACTCCAGCGCTTACTAACGAAATTCCAGTTTCTATGAAAAGTAAAATTAAAGAAACAGATATAGAAGCTCATTTGGTTTCCAATAAAAAACAGAAAATATCAATAGAAGATGTAGATGATGTAAAAGCAGGTATAGCAGTTGCAGTTCCAATAGATTTTTTAAAATTCACCGATACAATCCTTGGAAAGGGAGCATTTGGTGAAGTAAGAAGAGGGTTTTGGTGCGAATCAGAGGTGGCAATTAAGACCTCAGATCTATTTCAACAAACGCCAAAGCAAATAATAAAAGAAATCGCAATATTAGGAAGAGTTAGGCACAGTAATATAGTTTCTCTAATGGGCTATTCAAGAAATGATAATGAGTTCCATATCATTATGGATTTTATCGATGGCTATTCTCTCCATGACTTGATATTTAAACAAAATGTTAAAATTAAAATGCCGTTAGAGGAGCAAGATAAGGTAAAATTAACGTATCAAATCCTCTTAGGAATAGCATTTCTTCATCAATTTCCTCATCAGATTCTACACAGAGATATTAAACCGGCAAATGTTATGGTGACTAAAAATAAATTCGTAAAAATTTGTGACTTGGGTGTGTCCAAACTAAAGCAGTTAAGTACTGAGTTATTGACAACTCGAGGACATACCAACTGCGTTGGGATTCCATTATATATGACTCCAGAACTATTTTTAGATTTTCAAGAAGCTACTGAATACAGTGACATTTGGTCACTAGGATGTACCTTGATTGAAATGTACAGTGAAAACCGTGTGTGGCAGCTAGAGTCTATAAGCAATCTTAAGGAAGTTTTGAAGAGGCGATGCAAACCTAGTATGTTAAGTGTACCAGAATTTCTCCAAGAAATAATCAGTACTAGTTTTAATTATGATGTCAATTCAAGGCCAAAGGCTTTAAAAATTTTACAAGTATTAAAACAATCTGGTGTAGAATTGAAGTTAAATTAAAATTAAAATGACTTATTTCTTATAAATGAAAGCTCTGACCATTTTGTTATAGAAAAATTTAACTTAAAATCTATGAAAGAGACATATATTTTTAAAAATTATCATTTCTAATATGTTTATTGCGTTTCTAATTTTTTTCTAATGATAAAAGTGTTACAGTGTGTAAAAAGTAAAGTCTTTTTACTTAAATCTATATTGATAAGTAATTATATTGATATTGTTAAATCTACATGGATAAGTAAAAAAACAGCTCATTAGTCTCAACATTAATTAAAATGTTAATAAGATTGATTAAAATGTTAATTAAAAATTAATAAGATTCATCTCCATGCTATTTTTTTGTGTGTCGCACTTTTAATATTCTAAGAGTAATTTTCAACGTATTGATACACTGTTTTTATCTACATTGTATTTTGTTTAAGAAAATAAAAGCGTTTTTTCCTGTAATGTTCAATGTTTATTAAAACAATAGTAATAGTATACATTGTATGTTTTTTTTTCAGAGGAAAATCACATCGGAGGATTAATGGATTCCAGTTCTCTTACAAGTTCTTTATAGCTAACATATGCTTCCTCAATATTTGTAGGTATATTCATGTTTGGTTTGATGATCGCTACGATATCTTTTATTTTAGAGCTAAACAAATTTGACGTTATAGAAAACTCCTGTAATAATTTATTTACTTTCTCTTCTTCTGGAATTTTCTCAAATGATTTCCCATCATATCTTTCTGGCCAATAATAAATTATATTCGGAATGCCACATGGTGTTTTGCACTTAGTTTGCTGCCTGACTCTGTGCTGATTTCATTCTTTCATCGATTTTGTGAAGTCTTGTTGTATCAGAGGCCCAAAGCAATATCGCAAGAGTTCGATATGTAAGTTGATTGAAGAATTCAATTCTCCTAAATCTTCCATTTTTTTTTTAAATTTCATATACAAGTCGGTTGTATGGTGACGCAACTGCCTCCAATATTTTTCCACTCTTTCGTTTGCGGTGCTTTTACCTTTCAAAAAGCTCGAATATCCTGCTCTACTTTCTTTATCATCAAAACGTAGAGCTATTTGCACCAATTCTATTAACGAATTTTCAGTGCCTTTATCACTCCTTATTACACTGGGTACACATTTATGGGAGAGTAAAGATTTAAGATAATAATTAGCGATTACCTCAGGCTTGTTATTGGTCGCAGCTACCTCCAACCAAATAACTTTTCTTGAAAAGCCATCAACACAACCACTGATAGCGAATCCATATCTTTTTAATTTATCGTGACCGTCCACATGCCACGAATGATTAGGTCCACAAACTGCGTATTTTCGAGGTTTAAGCCTGTATTTCGAACGAGCTTCAATACCTTGAGGATCGACTACTCGTAAAAGTTTCAAAACTGTGTCTTGCTTCACAGTTAAACCATACTCTGATTTTAGACGTTGCCATGCTGCTCTATATCCCAAATAAATGCCAGAACTGCTTTTAATTTCTATGAAAGCTTTTACAATTGACTCGGTACTGCTTTCAATGTTGTTTCGCCTTCTAACGCCAATATTTTTATACAATCTTTTCAGAGTAATCACTGAAATTTTTTTCAGTCAGTTGCGGCGCTCGCTCGCAGTGCGCAGCGCCGCGTGATACTTTCAAGCTTCCGTAGTAGTGAGAGCTGCATCGCGTGTGCTGGCGTGTATCGTCGCATACGCGTGCATCGGCTCCATTCGACTCATCGCACGTGTGGCGGATCGGTGCCACGTCTCGTCCTCATTGCGTGCGTAGTGGATCGGCACCACGTTTCGTTCTCATTGCGTGCGTGGTGGATCGGCGACACTTCTCGCGTCGGAGTCGTTGCGTATCGCGCGTGTGTTCCGTGCCGGGCATCAAGACTCGCATGCGTAGACTTGTTAAGTAAGCGGAATTTTTTATAAATGTTAATATTTTTGATCGTGGGTGGGCTTAAAAAATTTCTTCTCACTTGCGGATTATGTCTCCACCCTTATTTTTACTTGCGGAGGTAGCATTAATTAGTTATAAACAATTAAAAATCAAAGATTTTTTCGCTGCGCTAGTGTTATGTACCGAACTTGCTTTTCCTTGCACGGGCTTCTGCGCAAGCGCGTAGCCGACGGAGATACAGGTCAGTACGGAGGCAATCTTCTGCTTGGCTGCTGATGTGGGTTCGATTCCCGATAAACGCGTTGAAACGCGAAGAAGTCGTAGATACACTCCTGGTATCGATGGCACAAAACGATGAAAAATAATTACTTCAGAGAGGTGGGTCGACGTTGTCTCGACTCTCGCGAGGAGGAATTACGTCGGGGGAGGTCAAGCCAATAGAATACAACAGACTTGTTGATATTCGTATGTGCGTGCTCCGCTCGTTCAACGGCAAGTCGGAGCCTGCAAGGTTAGGTCGATGACCCGCGAATCGCGAGACTCAGGTAGCGCGACTCTTTCCTTTAGGCGATCTGGCCCGAGCTACGGGTCGGCGGGACACTCGCCCAGATTGACACTCGAACACGAATGGGAAGAGGGAATATCGGCGTTTGGTATCGGAACCTTGCACTGAGATATTCTCGTTCGATGGACTATGTCCGTTAATTAGTTCTGAGACTAAGTTCGTTGATTGTTCTCGAGATCAAGTCCGTGAGACAACTCCGTGGTCAAGTTCTTCACGGATATTCTCCTACCAAAGCTCAAGTCCAACAGAGGTTGTCTATGCAACTATTTCGCAAGTCGATCAGCCAAAAGCTTTGGGGGATGCTCAGGTGGTTGTTCAAGAATGAATGACGAACCGTCAAAGGGCTATACTCCTTATATACTCGACGGGATATCGGCAGCGTGAGGAGGAAAAAAGGAGGAGAGCCGCAGGTCGGGTGATGAAGCCGCCGGTTTTTGGTGGCTGGAGGGCAAAGGAGGGAGTGCCACTGATTGTTCGGTAGGCGGAGTTGCGCCGATTTCGGAGAAATGTCGTTGGATTTTTGGTGGCGGCGCGAGTTCGGAGAAATTGCTTATCTCGGTACCCATTTGCCGGCGGCGTCTTTCATCTCGAGTTCGGGAAATTTCGGCGGCGTCGTTTCATCGCGAGTTCGCATTTGGCCGCGGCGTCTTTCATCTCGCGTTCGGGAAATTTCGGCGGCGTCGTTTTATCCCGAGTTCCCTTCGGGTACGAGTGTCCTTTTTCTATCTTACCGGCTCCGGTCTTACCTCTGGTGGGTAAGGTAGGTTGTGTGTGTGCATGTGTGTGCACGTGTGTCCCAATAAACCTGGCGTGTTTTCACGAACTGGTCACGGCGTGCTGTTGCGGCATTCCGTCATAATGTCGTCATTTTGTTGTCACGAAGTTGACCAATTATAAAGAGCACGGCGTGATGTTATCATGACATCATATTGCGCGCGCTCAAAATCAAACATTTTCAAGGCATGGCGTGCCGTCAAACTGCTGACATATTATGACAGCATGTCGTGCCGGCAGAATTTAAGCATTCTGTTAGCACAATTTTAATTAATGCTTATAATATAAAATTATTTTTTCAATTAAACTTATGATTATAGTAAATGATTGAAAACAAATATTATAATATATTCATCATTTATTGTCATCCATTTTTTACATTCTAATATAATTACAACCATAATTGAAAAGAAGGATCAAGACGAAGGTCGATTTCCTGTTCACGGCATAATTTTCGCGCGATAACGCTATTCTTGGAAAATTCATTCTTTTGTTGCCAACTGCCAAGAGAACTACAAGTGTTTGAGCCCGCTGTTTTAGTGCATCTTTTTTAAGTTTCTCTTGTTGTTGGTGATTATTGGTGATAATTGTTGGTTGCGGTGCTTTTAGTTGCTACATCAGGTGCTACTTTTTTGGTAAGTTTCTATTTTTATGATAAAAACTTATTGTATATTCTTTACAAAAATTTATTGTCACTCCTTAACCTTGTAAGTGCATCCCTGTAACAATAAATCATAGTGCATCCCTGTAAAAATATATAACAATCATGTAAAGTAGTAATTTGTGAGTTTACACAAAGATATATAGTGTACTAGATCAACTTTGGTATGTCAAATTAATTTTGTGTTAAAACTATTTTCTTATGATGCTATACAAAGACGATGCATAAATTTTTATCTGTTGCTCGCTTTGCATAGATATGTTCCACTTGATCAATCGTTTAGTTGGTCAGTTCTTCTACAAACTCTACATTAGATCAGTTTTAACGTAGTAAAATTGAATTATTTCATGTAACAACTTTTGAGGCACTATCGACTAAATACTATTTGAGTAAACTATTGACTATTTGACAACACTATTGAGTAAACTACTTATATGCTGAAAAATAAGTTAAATATACAATGAACTTGGCGTACTTGTTGATTTGTTACTTTAGCTTTTTGTACAAAGCTGGAAAATTAATACTATTGTAGGTATTGTTGTAACGTATAGTGTATATATGACACTATTGATAACATGATGATTAAAAGCGTGCAAAGCATAACGATTCAACAGATACGCCAAATTGATTGCATATTTAACTTGTTATTCAGCATATTTATGGTATATTCAATATTGTTGTCAAATAGTTAGTCAATAGTTTACTCAAATAGTATTTAGTCAATAGTGCATCAAAAGTTGTTACATAAAATAATTCAATTTTACTATGTTAAAACTATCCCAATGTAGAGTTTGTTTATGAACCGACCAACTATAGGATTGAATAAGTAAAACATGTCTACGCAAACAACATATCTATGCAAAGCGTGCAACAGGTAATAATTTATGTATCAACTTTATATAGCAGCTCTAAAAAAGAATTTAAACATGAAATTAATTTGGCGTACCAAAGTTAATCTGGTACACTATAGGTCTTTATGTACCCTGACAAATTATTACTCTATACGATTGATAACATGGTAATTAGAAGCGTACAACAGCAGTTCTAAAATCACATCATGTAATCAAAACAAATAACTTTGACAGGTGAGAGGTTAAGTTTCTCATAGACTT